CAGGGATATGGGACGGGGTGGAGAAAGCAGAGCAGGGAGGGAGGGAGGTGGGGAGAGAATGATGGGGTGGGGGGAGCCCGGGGAGGACATAAATAATCTTAAGTTCGAAATCCTTCAACACCTGCGCCCCAGCGCCCTCCCCTCTGCCCAGGCTGAGCAATCTCTAACTTCCCTGCACCCCAGCACATAGTTAGGTGCCAACTTGAGGCTCCAGGCATCCCATAGCACCTTGGAGCCCCCGGAGATGGAAGCCCGGCCTCTGCCAAGCAGGTGAGTACACGCATGCGCAGAGCCGAGTTGTCTGCACCGCGCTCAGAGCTGCCTGCCAAGCTGCCGCCCACTCACTCATCGCCAGGCAGAGCCGGGGCGGCTTATCTGGGGGGACCAGGGGAGCACTGTGGTCTCTGCCTTGGGGTCAGGTCCTGGGGCCTTCAAAAGGGCTGCTCTGGGGTGGGTTCCAGGGCCCACCTGTGTCCGCGGCCTCCTTGTGCTGGTGGTCGCGCCGCAGCGTGTCCTCGATCTGCGCACGGGTGACTTTGCTGGGCGCGGCCACCCGGGGGGCCTTGCCGCCTTTTAGCTTTGAGTCCTCCTCTTCCAGCAGGCGCTGCGTCTCCTTCTTCCGCTCCAGCTGTTCCAGGCGCCTCTTCTCCTTCTCCTCCTGCGGGAGTAGAGGGGTTAGACCGAGGACGGAGGAACCCGTCCTGGTGGCACTGGTCAGCCAGGGTGGATGAAAGCCTGCGGTGTCACCCCAGACCTTATGCTGGGTGCAGGGGTCGGGCCTGACGCACCAGGGGAGGATCCCCGATGAGAACTGGGAACCTCGGCAGGACAGGGGATGGCTCTTGAAGGAGGCCTGGCTGGAGGAGGGCTGGCCAGGGGGAGAGCAGAGGACAGGGGACTTCATAGTGGAAGGTATGGCAGATGCAAGGGCCCTGAGGCATGAGCCACTTGGCATCAGAAAAGGACAGCTTAAGGACCAGCAGTTAGCGTAATGCCTATGTCGCTGGACTCCCATGTAGTCAACTGCAGTTCAATTCCTGGACCCGGTGGCTTAAACTCATGCGGAGCATGTGTGTGTGTGTGTGTGTGTGTGTGTGTGTGTGTGTGTGTGACTCTCTGGTCAATATGAAATAAGTAAATGAGTAAATAAAATTTAAAAAAAAAATCAGTCTAATGTTGCAACAACCTTTTTAAAAAAAGAAAGAAAGACAGGCCGGCAAGTAGTGTGGTGGATAAGGGTGCTGGTTTCCCACATGGCTGACCACGGTTCAAGTCTTGGACCTGGTGGCTTGCTTTCTCACTCTTTCTCTGTGTGTGTGTGTGACTCTCTGGTCAATATGAAATAAGTAAATGAGTAAATAAAATTTAAAAAAAAAAATCAGTCTAATGTTGCAACAACCTTTTTAAAAAAAGAAAGAAAGACAGGCCGGCAAGTAGTGTGGTGGATAAGGGTGCTGGTTTCCCACATGGCTGACCACGGTTCAAGTCTTGGACCTGGTGGCTTGCTTTCTCACTTTCCCTCTCTCACTCTCTCTGTGTCTTTCTGGTCAATAAATAAATAAATAAATAAATAAAATGAATAAATAAATAAAGTTAAGTAAGTAATTAAAAAGACAAAAGAAAGAAAAGAACAGCTTAGAGCCTAACGTGGTCTTTTAAATTATTTTTTTAATTTCACTTTCTTTCTTTCTTTCTTCAAATGTGACCAGAGAGGGACAGAATGAGAGAGAGAGGGAAAATGAGAAAGCAAGCCACCAGGTCGGGGACTCGAACCACAACTTGCCATGTGATAGTTCAACGTCTTAACCACCACGTCACCTCCTGGCCCCAATAAATTATTCTTAAAAAACAATATATTAGTGAGGCCGGCAGGTGGTGCGGTGGTTAAGACGTTGGACTCCCACATGGCAAGCTGTGGTTCAAATCCCCGACCTGGTGCCTTGCTTTCCCACTTTCCCTCTCTCTGTCACTCTCTAATCAAGTCGAAATAATAATAATAATAATGATAAATAAAATTAAATAAATAATGCTTTAAAATAAAAAATTAAGGGGCTGGCAGGTGGTGGTTAGGTTAAGGGTGCTGGACTCCCACATGATCAACCATGGTTCAAGTCCTGGACCTGGCGGCTGTGCCTCTCTGGTCAAATTAAAATAAATGAAAGAATGAATAAATAAATAAAGTTAAATAAAATAATTTTTTAAAGAACTAAAAAAGAAAAAAGAAAAGAAAATGAAGACAAAAATAGTTGCACACATTGAAGGATCTCCACAGACAGGACGTGGAATGGGGACAGAGAGGGACAGGCAGGGAACCAATGAACACAGCAGGCTCAGTGTTCACCTAAGACAAGGCGGGTCCCAGCTGCACCGGAAGACCACGGAGCACACGGGACCTGGGTGCAGGGCAAGCACCCCCAATCTGCTCCCCCGAACCACGCCCCTCGCATCTCACCAGCCCAGAGCGGGCACCGCGCTTGGCCGCGACTGCTCGCTGGTGCCATCTAGTGTCCGAGCAGGTCAGCATCAGCCCTGCAGCCCCACCAGGAGCCAATACCGCAACCCTCCTGGGGTCGGCCCTAGGCTCCCGGGGGCTCTATGTTTTGGGGTGTGTGTGTGTGTGTGTGTGTGTGTGTGTGTGTGTGTGTTTGTATTTCTTTTCAATTTACTAGCGGGTGCGTGCCCTGGCCAGAGAGAGAGAGATAGAGACAAATTAGGAGAGAGAAAGAACAAGACGAAGCACCCCCCATAGGGAGCATTTCTGCTCCTGTTGGAATTTTGGGCATGCGCACACGCCTGACCTGGGGTTTTTGTTTCTTCTTGTTAAATTTGCTATAGGGTGTATGTTCTCGCGAGGGGGAGAGAGAGAGACAGAGAGAGAAAGTGAGAAAGCATTTCCCCCAGGACGATGGCCAGGATGGAGCCTTTTTTTCTTTTTTGAAAGAATTATCTAGTGGCTCGCAGATGGCATCGTGGTTAAGGTGCTGGACTCTCACCTCGTCAAATGCGGTTCGAGTCCCAGATGCACTGAGATTGGGTGCACGTGCGTGTATGCCCAAAATCCTGAGACCAGAATGAAGGAGAAGGGATTGTGGTGGAGAACAGAGGAGAAGGGATTCCGGTGTGGCCCTCCCCCCTGAGGGATGACTTCTCCCTTTCAGTCTCTTTGACTAGCATACGTGCACTATAGCAAAAATCTCTTTAAAAAAAAACAAAAGAGGGGCCGACAGGTTGCATGGTGGTTAAGGTGCTGGACTCCCACATGGCTGTCCATGGTTCAAGTCTCAGACCCGGAGGCTTAAATTCTCTCTCTCCTTCTCTAGTCAAATTAAATAAAAGCAATATAAATAAATAAATCTTCTTAAAAAGAAGTATTTAATTTTATTTATGTATTATTATTATTTTAGATATTTAGTTTTGTTATTATTATTATTTTACAGAGAGGTTTTTGCTACAGGGCACATGCGCTTGCCAGAGAGACAGAAACAGAAAGAGAGATAAAAATAGAAATCACCCCCCCACGGGGGGGTGGGATGACCACGCCGCAATCCCTTCTCCTCCATTCTCCTCTCGGGATCTTGGGCACGCACGCACACGCACCCGGTGTGAGTTTAAGCCACCGGGTCCGGGACGCGAACCGCAGTCGACTACGTGGGAGTCCAGCTACATAGCCATTACGATAACTGCTGGTCCCAGCTTCTCTGTTTTTTATAAACGCCTGGAGCCGCCTGGCCCTGAGTCCACAGGGAAGAGACAGGGGACCTGTCACAGCCTCCCCGTCCTGGGTCCTGGGCAGTGGTGGCAGCGGGGCCGGCTGGCTCTCAGCTGTGAAGCCCTCCCATGCACTGCCGGGTGCCCCCGAGCATCTGGCCCCCACTCCCCAGGGAGCTGTGACAATCACACCTGTCTCCACACAGTGACAAGCGTCCCCTGGGGGGGGGCAGAATGGCTGCCGGGCAAGAATATCCAGTCTGGTCCAGGCTGGCCTTCCAGGAAGGAAACGCAGGAGCCCAGAGAGGCTGGACTCGAACCCCTGCCCGCCGCTTCCCTAATGGACCGAGGCCTCGCTGCCTCAGGGCCTTTGCACCAGCCTCTGCTTCCAGCTGGTCCCCTCCCTGGGCAGCCCCAAGCCCGGAGGGAACTCCCGCTGCCCGAGACCACGCTGGGTCCCAGGGCGAGGGCCCACCCACCTTGCGCTGTTCCTTCTTCATGACGTGTTTGTCCTCATCCTTCCAGTAAGCATCCTCCAACTCCTTCTGTTTCTTGGCATCGGCCGCGGCCTTGGCCTCCGCCCTGCGTGCCCGGGCCGCTGCCGACTTGGTGTTCTCGCCCTGGAACTTCTTGGGCATTCCTCAGCAGCTGCGGGGAGAGGGTGGGCAGTCACCATCACAGAGTAGCACCCCACACTCACGCCTGGAATGCCCAGACCCCCGGGGGCCTCAGAGATCTGGTCTGATTGATTTGTTTTGTTTTTTTAGCCGAGGGGCATGTGCACTCAACAGAGAGAGACAGAGAGAGAGGGAAAGGGAGAAATCACCCCCCAGGGGGGATGGCCACACAGAAATCCCTTCTCCTCCGTTCTCCTCTCAGGATCTTGGGGCATGCACGCACACACACCCAGCATGAGTTGAAGTCACCGGGTCCGGGACTTGAACGGCGGTCGACTACATGGGAGTCCAGCGACATAGCCATTACGCTAACTGCTGGTCCCAAAAATAAAATAATTCTTTAAAGAAATGCACTCTCCCTCAGGACCCCCAGTTAGCGTAATGGCTATGTTGCTGGACTCCCATGTAGTTTACCACGGTTTGCGTCCCGGACCCGGTGGCTTAAAACTCACACCAGGTGCGTGTGCGTGCGTGCCCAAGATCCTGAGAGGAGAATGGAGAAGGGATTGCAGCGTGGCCATCCCCCCTGGGGGGTGCTTTCTCGCTTTCTTGTCTGTCTCTCTCTGTCTGTCTAGCGAGCGCATGCGCCCTATAGCAAAAAACCTCTCCAAAAAAAAATAAATAAATAAAAACATACATACATACATAAAAGTTAAATAAAATAATTCTAAAAAAAAAAAGAATGGGACCAGTAAATGGCATCATGGTTACATCACTGGACTCCCACGTATTCGACTGCTGTTTGAGTCCCGGACCCAGCAGATGAAACTCATGCTGGGTGCGTGTATGTGCGTGCTCATAACCCTGAGAACATGGGGGAGAAGGGACATTAGCACAGTCACCTCCCCTGGGGTGTGATTTTTCACTTTCCCCCTCTCTCTGTCTTCAGTGAGCTCATGCACCTTGTGGCAATAAATTTAAATAATAGTATATATATATATATATATATATTCTTTTTTTGTAATTTGAACTTTATTTATTTTTAATTCTGAACAGAGAAGGACAGAGTTAGAGAGAGAGAGGGAAAGTAAGGAAGCAAGCCGCCGGGTCTGGGACTCAAACCACGGTCAGCCATGTGGGAGTCTGGCGCCTTAACCACCATGCCACCTGTCGGCCCCAATAACAGTATAATTATAACTGAGATGCTAGCTGCTGTTGTGTATGATAGATGTGGTCTAAACCAATCCCTCCCCCAGGTGCAGCTAAGACTGGCATTTTTCAAATTAAATTTAATTTATTATTGTTTTTAAAGAATTATTCATTTCATTTTATTTATTCAGATTTTTTTTTTTTGGAGAGATTTTCACTGTAGGGCGCGTGTGCTCGCCAGACAGACAGAGAGAGACATAGAGAGAGAAAGCGAGAAATCACCTCCCAGGGGGGATGGTCACGCCGCAATCCCTTCTCCTCCATTCTCCTCTCGGGATCTTGGGCACGCACGCACACGCGCCCGGTGTGAGTTTTAAGCCACCGGGTCCGGGACACAAACCGCAGTCGACTACGTGGGAGTCCAGCGACATAGCCATTACGCTAACTGCTGGTTCCCTTTATTCAGACTTTTTAATTTGACCAGAGAGACACATGGTGTAGAGGAGGGGGGAGTGAGAACGCAAGCCACCAGATCTGGGACTAGAACCTTGAACTGTAGTCAGCCACATGGGAGTGTCCAATGCCCAAACACCATGCCACCTAATGGTCCCTATTTGTTATTATTATTATTCATTTGACCAGAGAGAGAGAGAGAAGGAAAGTGAGAAAGCAAGCCACCAGGTCCGGGACTCGAACCGCAGTTGGCCATGTGGGAGTTCAGCGCCCTTAACGGCCATGCCACCTGCCGGCCCCTAAGACAGTCCTCTGTATCAGCTTTTGCAAGAGGAGGCATCCACAGGGTGCTGTCTCTTTCTCCTTCTCTGTTTCCGCAGGGGAAGTGACATGCCCGAGTCCCCATGGCTACTTACGGCAGGGGCCACGACTCCGGCCATCTAGTCCTCCCGGGTAAACCCTGCCCCAGGGCCCCAGCAAGCCCCTCGGGGGACATCAATGCAGATCGGGCCTCTATGGCCTTGGGGACCCGTGACCCTATATGGAGGGTGGCCTCTAGGCCCTGGGACCCGGGCAGAGATTAGAGTGAAATAAATGGAGGACCAGGAGTCTTGGATTCATGCTCTGGCTCTGGAACTGGGGTTAAGGTGCTCTCTCCTTTTTGTTTTTTTTTTTTTAAGAATTATTTTAGAGGGAACCAGCAGTTAGCGTCATGGCTATGTCGCTGGACTCCCACATAGTCGACCATGGTTCACATCCCGGAGCCGGTGGCTTAAACTCACACCGGGCGCGTGTGCGTGCGTGCCTCACCATCCCCCCAGGGGGTGCTTTCGTGCTTTCTGTCTCTCTGTCTCTTGCTGATAAGTACAAGCACCTTAAAGCAAAAAAAAAAATTAATTAATTAAATAAATTTTATTTATTCGTTCATTATTTTAATTTGACCAGAGAAAGACAGAGAAAGTGAGAAAGCAAGTCACTAAGTCCGGGACTCAAACCGTGGTCAGCCAGGTGGGAGTGCCCAGTGCCTTAACCGCCACGCCACCTACTGGTCCTCCCTTTTTTATTTTTTTTAAAGAATTAGTTTATTTATTATTATTATTTAAATTGACCAGAGAGAGAGAGAGGGAAAGTGAGGAAGCAAGCTGCCAGGTCTGGGACTCGAACTGCAGTCAGCGTTGTGGGCGTTCAGCACCCTAACCACCTTGCCACCTGCTGCTGCCCCCCCCACCCCCTTTTTAACCAGAGGATGTTTGAGCTTATCAGAAACAAAGAGGGGAGGACCAGCGGTTAGCGTAATGGTTATGTCGCTGGGCTCCCACGTAGTTGACCGCGGTTTGAGTCCCAGACATGGTGGCTTAAACTCATGCCGGGCGCGTGTGCGTGCGTGCCCAAGATCCCGAGAGGAGAATGGAGGAGAAGGGATTGCGGCGTGGCCATCCCCCCTGGGGGGTGATTTCTCGCTTTCTGTCTCTCTGTCTCTCTCT